AATCGTAAACACAAACTTTTTATCTAGGATGTCAGCACATATATTGTAACAATTCTTATTTAATAAAGAGACCTACACTTCTGACATACTTTAGCCTATAGATTAACACTATTTAACTTGGAAGTAAATACCTTTAAAAAACCATGATGCAGGAAAGCGGCTAAAACAAGAATCCTATAGTAGGAAAGAAGCAAGATTGTCATGGTAACGGTAAATAGTCAATGGCAAAAGACTTTGTTATTTGAGCATTAGAATTTTGATATACTCGCTATATAACAGAATGTAAACAGAAAAGTTTTCATAATGTCATGCGAATGAAATTGCACGGGAAAAACTATTTTTAATAAAAAGATATTAACAAAGTTAAAGTTCAAAGTTGGATACTCTTGTGTCCTTTTGATTAAGTATGTATTCTGTTTGTAATCTTTAAGTAAGTGCGTCATGCTTATTCCTGGCCAAGGTAACGAGCAAAGAATGGTTTCTAATGTGATGTCATAAATAAAAACTTTTTAATGCTAACATTGTAAGAAAAAACAATAATTAACTACTGGTCGTTAAATAAGGAGAGAATGTTAGTTATGAACTATTATAGTCCACGCGGACGAAGTTGCGGGCAACCACTAGTGTATTTTACTATTATTACGATTTTTTATCTCTTTTACACATCGTACGTAATTGTTATGCCATTTGTAAGTTATTTTTTTTTATCCTAGTGTAAATTTTAACTCACAAGCTTTCGCCCGCGACTCCGTCCGCGTGGATTTAAAAATAGATAAAGTTAGTAGCCTATGTGTTCTTCCAGACCATGTTTTACATAGATGCCAATTTTCATCGAGATCCGTTCAGCCATTTAGGCTACAAACATCCATCCATCCAAACTTTCGCATTTATAATATTAGTACGATTACTAATTACGAGTTGTGTTAGTTATATAAATAAATTAATTAAACCATAAGGAGATAACGATTTCCTCCTAGTTTAATATACTCATATCAATTTTATTGTAAAACCCAACTTCGTGTTTGGAATTTACTTTTATTCATTTGTTATTTGTGGTCGCGTTATCGCAACTGACTTATGAACTCAACGGCAATAACACTAGTAATCAGCTAGAGGAAATAAACACACGTTATTCCCGGTAAATTATGTTTTGGCGGATTTTAAATTTATGTAGCAAAATATCATACTAGTCGTACTAAACAAACTAATATTATAAATGCGAATGTATAGATGTTTGTTAGAGTTTGTAACCTAAACCGCTGAACAGATTTCGAAGAAATTTTCTATAGATGTAGAGGATAGTCTGGAAGAACACATAGACTCACTTTTGTTTTTTTAATTCCACGCGGACGGAGTCACGGGCGAAAGCTAGTTAACATATATTGCACTCTCAACTAACCTGTCTTACTTGGTTAATTCCTGGTTAAGTCCTATTTTGAAGTCAATTTCATATTTAGTTTGTTAAAATTGCAATTACTTAACAGGACAATGTAAGTTTTCTATGACTTAGCAACTTAATTATGGGCTTCTAAATTAAACTCTACAATTCAGTACGACTGTATACATGTCCGTCTGGTGAGACACGCTGGCAACGTGGTACAGTTCGACTGTTTAGTTAAAACATTCGTAGGCAAGACTGATAATTGTACAGTTAACTGTTAATCTTTCACGCATAAATGTGAGTTCAAGAAGTCATCTTAGTAATCACATTTTATGCTGTGTTCAAGAACCATATCTATATTAATATAATAAAGCGTAAACGCACACTACTTCATGGCGTTTGTCAGCAATCACAGAATATTTATGAATGATTATTTTTTTAATAAAAATGCCCTATGCTTACGCCACGATTTAGGCTATGCATTTTTACGCTATTAAACTTAGGAGGTAAATACATTGGAAAAAATCTTCATGTGGGAGAGGGACCATAAACTACAAGCTACCAATATTAAGGAAGCAATGATGTTATGTCATGAATGTGGAGGGGTACACCGGTAGAGGTAGACCTAGAAAGAGCTGGATGGATTGCGTGAAAGGTGACATGATCAAGAAGGGAGTGATGACAGATGACGGATGATAGAGTTATTTGGAGGACGAAAACCCAGTGCGCCGACCCAACCGGAGTAGGATAAGGCAAGGGAGATGATGAAGATTATGGTAACCGTAACTGACATTTGCAATTAAGAATTTGACAAATGTAAACAATAAAATAAAGTTTTTATAATTTTCTGCTTATGAAGCCGCATGGAAACAGCTAGTTTATATGTTTTTAAATTCCAGAATTAGTAATGATGTTAAACTTTCTGTTCTACTTACATGAAAGTATACAAGTGCTGTTTTCTATTACAATCCGAGACACTTTTATGAATGTTTTTCACTTTGTAATGAACCAAGATATCGATAGAATCATAAAAATTTACGTGTTCGAGACTTAATCGACCGTTTGACATCCTTTATACTAAAGAAGAAATTGCAACATTTAGATAAACGTTTACAACGGGACTGAAGGAACCTTTTTTGTATCTATTAGACGACATCAATATCCATTACCGTTTAATCTCAATTTGTGTCCGAGGACACAATGAAATTATTTGAATTGCCCCAATAAAGGACTTAAACAAGTAGAACGTGTTTAAGTGATATTTATTATTTAATTATTTGTTACGTGGTAGGCTCTAAGAAGACAAAACCTAAACAAAGAAAAATGCATTAAAAAAGCAAACAATGCATAACAGCTTCAGTATGAAACGGATCTTGAGATACTTTTTGACATTGGCAGGAGGGCGCTAGTGAGCTGTAGTAATTAGTCTGTTTGTAATATCACACTGCTCGGTCAACCTTTATAAATATATCGGCTTTTATCCGGGACTTATTCCGCTCGAAATTAAGAAAATTACTATGTAAATAGCCTATATGTTCCTTCAGACTATACTATAAGGCTGTGATAAATATCGAGATTAATTTACCGTTAAAAAGATACGTAGTAACAAAATATCATCTGCTATAGTTTCACATTTTACAAGTTACACGTGAAAGTAGACACGCAATAGTTCATATGTTATTATATTAATTTATTAGTAACTAGATGTTCCCGTGCGGCTTCATCCGCGTGTAATTATAAAAACTATACTTTATTATTCACATTTGTCAAATTATCAATTGCAAATGTAAAAATGACATGGCTTGATGACAAACCGTGGCATTTTTTTCCTTGATGCTGGCAGCTTGTACTTTATGGTCCCTTTCCCAAGTAAGGTGTTTTTCCAGTTTACTTATCCTCTAAGTTTAGTAACGTGAAAATATATAGCCTAAAGCGTGACGCACGTGTAGGGCTTTTTATTAAAAAAAGAATTAAAAATATGCTGTAATTGCTGACATTTTAGGCAACAATTTAGTGTGTGTTTGCGCTTTATCGTCGTATAGAAGTATAGATTATTAGTAGAGTATCATTAGCTTTCGTAATATCGTCTAATTAACACAA